TGTTACAAACCCCCTTCACATAAAAAAGAACCATCTCTAGACAATGAGCAACATATTCGAGTTAAAAAACACAATTTTTATAAAAGTAATCATCATTTTCATATAATAAGGCACTATCTTTACATTAAATAGCACGGAATTAAAATTAGACTTTTGAACCCGCTTCCCTATGATAGACCATACAAATGAATCGTGGAAGTCTAATTCTAATAAGATATAGTTTCATTTGCACATTGCTTGCCACATGAATCAACTTTGTGCATTTCAATTAGGTGCAATCTTCATATGATATATATTTATTAGGTGTAATCTTCAAATAATATATCACCATCTTCACATAATTAAGCATCATCTACACATAATAATTAAAACACCATCTTGACATGATGAAGCACCATATTTACGCAGTACAGTTAAGGTGCGCAATGGAAATATCGATTATATTTTGTATTTAAAAATGTATTCGTAATCGGGATGGCTATTGTTTTTAGTACATTATTTATATCGGATAATTGTAATTATGATTAATGACTACATATTGAGGACGATTATACTTTATATTTAGACTAGTACGTGATGCGGCAGGCACGGGATTTTAGCACATTGACTTGAAGTATTGATGTTACATATAAATATCACTAGTGCAAGGGGAAAACAAAGTTAAATGTTCAAGTTTAGTATATAAATATTTTCAACACGCATTGCAGTTTCAAAAAATGCTGCGATCCTGTATAAATTCTTCAATTTCATTGTCAAAATTATACTTGTATGACCAAATGCTATATTTTTTGCTAGTCAGTGGCATGAAATATTGATATACACATGTAATTAAATTGTTCTTAAGATTTCATCAGGATCGCAACACTTTTCAGATACCTTAATACTTCTATAGTTAAAATGTAGAAGCTTACTTTGATCTATAGAGTGTATGTCCTTGCACTTAATCGATTTATTAAGACCCCCCACATTCCCTTCCGATGTACTTGCATACAAATATGAGGCAGTGTCAATTAAATACGTAATGTACAGAAAATGTATTAATAAAACAATGAAAAAGACATTAAATTCAAGTTATTGGCCCATAAAATATCTGTAAATAATATTTTATTTACTTAGAGAATACATACTTTGTTGAGAAAATATTACTAGATCTGTCTCTCACTGCATACAAACTACGTCACGTTGTAAGAAATGACGTCATATTGACAAGTGTATTGCGATCAGTGACTTGTTTATAACTTGTTATGTGGGATTTCACTAACGACAAAATAACACGCTGTAGTAAGTTTTTATGTAGTTTGATGATTTCTTATTGGTTAAATTGGCAGATAAACTCATTTTGTGGTATTTTAAAGAAATGCTGTATGACGTATATTGTGAATGATGTCATAGTCAAGTTTTCCCGTACAAATTTGGCTCCGCCTCCTTTTTGTAACCTTAACTGTGCTGCGTACATTAAATAATCACAGCATACTATGAAAATGCACCATATCTTCACGAAATAACCACATAAGTCAGCTATGGCGTTCCATACTTTTAATCCGTCCACGGCAAAAAATGTGTTGTTTATTGGTGCGTGTTATAGCTGTTTAATTTATTGCAACCTTAATAAAAAGTTTAGTATCATACGTACAATCCTGATCAAACAAATTTGAATACTATAATTTAAAGTGGATTTTTTTCAATAAGTTGAAAGTTGCTTTCAGTTAGGACTACCTTTCTGCAAAATTATATCCAAAATCTTTATCATGCAATGATATGCACTGTATATTTGTTTTTATTGACCTGTTCTTTTAATTGAAAGGATCCTCTGAAATCGATAACAAATAACTTCATAAATATTTAAGAACATACAATAAACTGCTAATCACCTAGTTATAAAAATTAAAATGTTGGTCAATTGGAAATTGCAAAGTATCCTCATAGGTACAAAAATCTTCAAAACTGAATAAAGGAAAATGTAAAAATTCAGTCAAGGAAATAATATTTCTGAAGTGTAGATGGAACTCTCTTTTGTTGGTCATTTACCTGTGTGAAAAGTATAAGGTATGTCCTTCTTACACTCTTCTGCTACAAATGCAAAAAAAAAAAAAAAAAAAAAAAAAATGCGAAATTCATGGACTTTGTGTCAGGGGTTCAGATCCTAGAAAATCCTCCCTTTTATTTAATTTGATCATCAAAACTAGCTATGAAATATTAAGTACGTTTCTCTGAATTGCGAAAAAGAGCTCAACCATATTCATCAATTGTAGAAATCTGAAAGTTTTTTGTAAGGTCTGCACTTTTGAGTGGAAATAGCCCTGTTTAAACTGACATATCAAGCTCTGGATTGTTGTTGAAAAACCTTTCTGATCTTTTCAGTTAATTTTGACAAAGAGAAATACTAAAAAGGCAGAAAATAAACCCATTTGAATTGTAAAGACTTTATTCAAAGTCTTTAAATCTTATGTCAAAGATTCATATAATTTGCTATTGATATTTATAACCATTAAGTTCTTTGAACAGATTTTCTGTTTATGAACACTCAGTATGAAGGAGTCAGGCAGCTCCTACTGCAGATTTGGTAGCCGTATGAACACGAACTCCGGCACCTAGAACGCGCGTAGCCGGACATTCTATCACATCTCTCCTGGCAATCTGTTAACAGGTCATAGCAGGCGCAGAAGCACTGATTACTCTGTAAGAAAGCCGGGCATCCTGCACAGCCGTTCAAAAATAGTCCCACTGAAAGTGTTAAAATGATTGCTTTCATCCTGAAGAACTGAAATATAAAAGGAGCATAATTCATGAAAAAAAAACGTAACTACATATATGCAGTTAGAAAAGAGAAAAATGCTTTTTGAAAAGAAAATCCAAGCGGAAAATGACGTCCAATGAAACGTTGCCTATTAATCATCATGCATTCAGAGGGTAGTTCCGAATTTACAACAAGAAAATTCATTTCTAGTATTGAAATAATTCACGGCTTGACCTCGTTGAGTGTCTTTCATGTATATCTGTTGAATTCTTATCTTCCATCAGTGAAAGAATTAGTCCTCAATCAGTTTTACACTGTAGAGAGACATTTTGCATCTTTCTTTAGTAAACCGCCTGATCGAGGATTGAAGGGGCTTCTTCACGGTTTTGATCAACTTTTATTTTTCTACATTTATTGTTTACAATGATTTATTTTAATTAATGCATTTCTAATGATTAAACAAACTTTGAGTTTCAATCAAAGAGTTATAAGCAAGATACAAAGCTCACAATTCTTGGTTTTGGCTCTTGTCATGTTTTTGTTTACATAGGTTCAATATACTTGTGAATGTTCCTATTCAAAAAGATTTTTTTTCTCTATCTACTACTTCGTTTTGAATACAAATAAACAGCTTCTAGCGTTTGTAACATTCATTTTTGGTCTAAATCTGAACATTTCCTCAACATCCACAATGTGAACAAAAATGACCCCAGCATTGTTCATGTTGTTTACAAAGCAAAGAATTGAGATCACTCTATCTCGCTTATATCTCGATGACTGACACTCAAATTTTCGTTGACTGTTGGAAATACCTTACTTAAGTATTGTAATCATTGAAAACGGAAAATTTGGACCAATAATGTATCCATGCCTCTTTAAAATACAAACAGCAATGGACTGTAGTTCACAAATTAACTTTGAACTCCCTTGTTTCTCGTATTAATTTTTCTTCATTGTGTGTTTTTGTTGTTTTTTCTAAGTAACAGATTGTCCCTGTTTATAATTTACACGAAAGAAATTTTAATTAAAATAATCATCATATTTGAAGTGTAAGGCTTGTGTATTGTTTGGCCAATTAAAGCATGTCATAAGAGTGCGGCAATAGTATATTTATTTATTATTTTTATTGAAAAAGTGTTAATAATTGATGTTTTTTTTCCAGTTTAAAAAAAATTAAGATAACTTTAATTAGTTTTAGCAAAAGAAGTTAACAAAAGATATTTCTTACCGTATTGTCTTCAATATTCTTGAACGTATGTTTACAGCAATTGAATTGTCTTTATATATATTTTCAGAAATGTGTCAAGTGTTCACTTCATAAAGTGAAGGATATAATATCAGGACACTTAAAGAGGCAATTATGTGACTGAACTGTGCATTAGAGCCGTATGAAAGGAATAACAATATGCTAAAAAGAAACTTAAAAACAAAATAAAAAACAGTAAACAAAAATTCTGTTGATTGGTTTGAGGGAAATGAAGACTTGAAATATGAGGATCAGTACTGCGTTTTACAAAGGAACTTACGACATATGTCAATCTCATTAAAATCAGACCCCTGATCTGCTCCTTTATTTTTTATTGTCGCTACACGAGGATCTAAAACCCTGCTTGAGGTCAACGATCACAGTGGTTACTTGCTCATGTTGCTTGAAGAAATAAAAATATATTCATTTAAAAAACAGGAGAGAAAAAAAAACAAAAAATGATCAGTCAAATATATCTTTCCAAATATCTCATTGTTTTTTTTTAAATTATGCACTTTGAAACTTTGAATTGCAACATATCTTTCAACATTAAATTTTACCTTTAATGACCAAGAAAACCAATTAGTGTTTGCACAATATTAGCATCAGACAAGAAAATAAGTATTGTTTCTTCATGTTTCTATTTTGAAGACTTTCAGACGGCTGTCCATCAGCATAAAGTCTTCCAATTTGGCGAAGTCCTTAAGGCATGGAACAAGTGAAAAAGATCTTTATGTGAAAATGATGGGAAAAAACCCCTATAAAGACCGGTGACGTGTTACAGATAGATACTTTGTTGTTGGAGCTTTTAACAACAGAACATTTGCTCCAGATGAAGAAGCTGCCATCTGTGATACACTTGGGGATTTCAATTCTGTGCCTTTCTTCAAACAACTATCAATTGGTCATCAAATCGATCAAATTACAGAATTCAAATCTACTTAATACAGTGACAACTTTGGGGGAGTGTAAACTTTTGTAAAAGTAAATTTGAATGAAGAGACACAGATTCTTGCCCTCATCCCCCCGATGAAAAGATCTACAGAAGCAATTTCCAAGAGTGCAAGATCTACCAGCAGCCATTCCTTACCAATGAGACCACCATCAAAATGAAACATAGAAGCTGTACCAGTAAAAGACATTTCTGATGTGTGTTCGTAATTAAGTTTCCATAAGTGATGAACTTTGTTTTGTTTTGATCCCGCCTAATAGGATTGAGAAGGAGTGAAAAACTAAATTAACTTAGCCAAAAACTGTTTGGAAATAAGAGAATTGTATAAAGACTTTCTAGTCTACTTGCACTTCTTAAAAGTATTGTATGTTTGTCATCATATATAAAACATGCTATCTAATTGTTTTGTAATAAACAAGATGTCATTATTGCCTCTAGAGGCACTGAATCTATCATTTACATTTTTGGTCTTAATACTTCTGATTTAACATTCTTTCAAATTATTATAGCTAGATATATTTAATTGATTTTTGTGCTAATTTTGCATATGACATAATTACTATATATTGCGTTTTGTTTTGCTTTACTAAATGTAATATTGGGTTGTCCACAAGTCAAAAATTTATTTGATGAAGTAGTACCGAAGAAAATGTATGTAATGAAATACCTTAAATAAAACATAAAATACGGAATCAATCCATGCTAAAAATCTCACCGGAAAATATAAATAATGAGATTGAAATTAAAATTCAGATAAATTTTGATATATAATAAGATTTGAAATTAAGACTTAGTTTCCAAAAAGGCACACTTTAGGTACAACACCTTTAGATAAAATTGACTAAGTGTGAATTAGATACATCTTTAACACACTGAGAAATTTCTGAGTTCCACAGGTGATATACTCAAAAGAGTTAAACATTTCTAAGTATCAAATAAGCACATAATAGGTACATTTAAAAATGTCTAAGTCTAATAGGCACATTTCAGGTATACTGCTAAAAGACAAAGTTTATTGACTAAGTCTGAATAAGTAGATACATTTTTGATACTTTTGAAGACACACTGAAAAAGTAGAAATTTTTTTTGGTATGGGTCGTTCCACAAGTGATATACTCAAAAAAATTGCTTTTCCAAATGTGACAGAATTATTTTTCTGTATTTTCTTATCATAAAATACCTAACAAAATAGTGGAATCAAAAACTAAAAATGAAAGAATAAGATCTTGGTTGTGTGTTATTTAAATCAAATCTGTCTTGTTTCAGATAAACATGATGATGATCCTTTTGATGTTGCCAAGGAGGCTCAAGCTCACGTATGTATTTATTTTCCTTCCCATTAGAATCTACCAACTTTTAATCAGTTTAGTTTTATGGGTAGTGATTTTTTCGGTAGCATGTGTGCTGATAGCTTCCTATAACTTGACTTGTTATTTGACTGTTCCAAAGAATTTGTGTCACTTTTCTTGTCACTTGTACTTTCACTGTACCACTGGGCCAATAGATTTTAAACAGATTGTTATAAGACCAAAATAATAGTATACAAATATTTACTTGTTTTGTTATAGGAAGAAACAAACCAAAAATTAAAAAAAGGATTTTAAAAGAGATCGCCGTAAATTTCTCGGCTCAATATAGAATTCATGAATTCAATTTTTCGCAAAGCTCATTTCCAAAATATAGGTACACGGTCACTGCCGCCCATAGAAGTTTAGTTAAACTGAAGTACTTCACAGTTATTTACAATTCCTAAATCCATGATGAAGGCAAACCGTCGCATATATTGACTGGTCGCCTATAATTACGTCACCTTGTTAAGAGTCTCGAAGATGTATTTACGTCAACTGTGATAAATCAAAAGTGATTAATTGAAATAGATGGATTATTCTCTAGATATTATTCTTAGCGGTTCAAAACATCACGCAGCATTGTTAAGGCTTGAATAAGGGGGCGGGGCCTTATTTACAGGGGAAAAGTTTACAGTGATGTCACACAAAAATATGATTTTTATGTTTTTTCTCGTTATACCTGAAAATGAAATAGTTTGCAATTTTTAACTGTATTAGCATAATAAACAACAATAAAACTTATCAATGCATTTAAAAAACTTGCTAGTTATATCCCATGTAGCTGGTTATAGACAAAGCATTGATAGCGATGAACTTGTCGTTTTTTATGTACACGTATATTTTACGTCGAGATGCCTCATAAAATCGTACTTTCCCAAGGGCATGTACTTAATAGATCTTAACCAGTTTTTTTAATAAAGATACAATGTAAAGGATATTTTTTTAATTTGAAAAGTGCTGCTGCTTTCTAAAAATCGAGGGCGTATTTTATAAGTTCACAAAATATTTGGTAAAAGTCAAACATACATCGAGATAGGCTTATTTACCTGAAAATTTAACTATAAAAACGCGAATTCTATTCAAAGCAGCACTTTTCAAAAACTACAAAGTATGCAGAAACAATTAATAGCTTGAATTTTTAATTTGAACTAGGTTATGTCCTTGCGATATTGAAATTTGTTCATGACCTACATTCAGTACACGAACTATGCATTCATCTCATGACTGTCCATCGGTGGGACCAAACTTCATACAGTACAGAGTTGGTTATACTATGCTATTTCCATAAATATTTGTGTTCTGTGATAATAAAACAGCTTAAATAAAATAAATTCAGTTTTAAAAAGGTCCCCCTTTTTTGCACGTCTATTTTCCGTTGATTTCTTAAAGTAGGCTTAATAGTGCTGCGCAGAGTCTAATCAACTGTGTTTATACACTGTGCAATTAATATCTCTTATTTTCAATTCATATTTGCGGGCATTCAATTAATGGAAGTTTATTTTTAAATATTTTTTTTCACAAATATGTGGCATTGCTACATTTGCATACTGTTTTAAACTCAATAACGGAAAAGCAAGCTGTTGTTTCAACAGAAATACGCTTAGAATAAACAATCTTGTATTGCAGGTATTTATTTTTTAACATGTTATATAACTAAATGAATACATACATAAAACGAAATTATCCATACCCTTTTAAATACATTATATATTATACGTTTGTAGTCCAATATATTACAAGACAAACTGTACCGAAACATGTCCTTATCAAGCGTACTGTCAAGGATGTCTTGTAGCTTTAGTCACGGATGTGTTTTTATGGTACATGATATTTCAGCTAATTTAAATGTTTTGCGTTTGATCAATTTTAAGAGAAGTGTATTGATAATGTTAATATACCCCTGCTCCAAAGGCATGGGGGTATAATGTATACATACTTTTGTGTGTTTATCTTTCCGTTTGTCTGTATGTTTATCCGTAAAGAATCTTCACAGTTATTCAGCATTTACTCATCACAAAATGCGCTGAAATTTAAGCACACTCTTTATCTAGTCATGCCATATAGTGGAATTCATTTCATCATGTTCATAGGAATATGACGTCAAGTTTATGATAATCCGTGCGTGTGCCCGTAGTAAAATTTCATGACAGATGCTTGAAACTTTAGCACATCAATGCGGCCGTATTACAAGTAAACATTGGCCCAAAGACTGCATGTTTCGTTCCAGTTTTAAGGAAATCATTTTTCTCGCCATAAACACATTTTGACCACCTGGAAGACCAGACCGGGTGTATAAAATGAAAGATTGTGTACATTGCAGCAGAAGGAGGAAATAACAAGAAAGAAAAAACCAAAACTTATGTTGTTTTAACTCTCAACTGCTGTTAAAATTTGAGAATATCCCATTCGTTAATTTCTTGGATTTAAAATAGAATAAAAGAAAAAAAATGTGTTTATCATCTATCGAAAAGCCTGTCTTTTTAAATTACATCGCGTAGAAGCTTAAAGCTGAACATGACTGGTAAATCGGCATACGCCATTTTAGATATCATATCTACGATACATCAAACTATAGGTGTACTCTTTAGATTCATTATACCTGGCTGCTTTATTTTCACGGTTATTGGTGTTGACTTGCGACGCGTGTTCCTGCTGGTTATCTTAAATTACCTTTGTTTACATTTGCATACATTTGTGTTTGTATACTGTACTGTCCTGTGCAACTGTTGTTAGTTTCTTTGGCATCTTACTTTCTTGCATTAGAAGACGTACGCAGTTATATCTGTAACTACTGAGTATTGTAAAGTAGAAGTCAGTGTCCATCGGTG